GCTTTTCTCTCTGGCTTGTCAAGATCAAAGGGTACTAGCTCGACATCCTCTTTGGGCTTCCATCCTTCTTCAGGAGAGACCTCCAGACAGATTCCCTCGACTTGGTCTTGATTCTTTGATAGCTATTGTGGAGTAGCTATTCCCTTTCCTTTCTGGTCTGCTCGACCATTAGGAACGAGATTTGCTTTCTCCTCTGCTTGTTCTACTCCCTTTAGATATGCTTGATTCACAGGGAGGAATTGTGTTTGCTTGCTTCTCTTTAGCCCTTGAGCTTAGCATTTCCTCGCCATTGCCTGATCGTTGTTGATCTGGCTGATCATGGTCTGCCCGGAATGCCATTGTAGGGTGAGACTTCGTCAATGCCCATGAACGTTTGCGAGCTGATTACAGGTACGGAGTAGACGTCGAGATTTATCATGCCTATAGTAACTGTTGTCACACCATTAAAGTCAGTTAGCGACCTGACTGATTTATTGATCTTTGTTTCTAAGCCCATCTGTTGGATGACTGCCAATTGTAGGATATTGGTTACGATGCCCTCGTCTGCATGGATTCGATCAACCATGGCCTAAGCGATTTGAATGCTTATGACAAGGGCGTCGTTGTGTGGCAAATCAAGGCTAATTAGATCTTTACGTTGGAAGCCGATTATGGAATCGTCTTCTGCTAGTGGAAGGCTAGTTGAGACTTGGGAGATCACAGTGGCCTGTCTAATCTTCCTTTTCTTTTCTCTGCTGGTCAGCCCAGACTCCTCGGAGTTGGCTAGGATTGTGTTAATCCTTATGACCTTCTAGGGTGGCTCCTTGGCGGTATCACGGTCCTCAATCTGTTGGATGGCCTGCTTCGCGATGAACTCCGTGTAGCGACCTTCTCTCATGAGTTATTCGAGGTGCACTTTCCAAGCAAAGCAGTTATTCGTTTTGTGCACAGTATTTTCTGGTATTCCTTTTGTCCGGATCTCCTTTCAAAGGTGGCGGTCTTTTTACCCAAGGTTTGTCCTTCACTTGGGCTAAGATTTGATGTATATGGATGGAGAACTTGGTGTAGTTCTCCTTTGTTGTAGTGTCTCCCTATGGGGGCGATTTGTGTTTGTCTTTGTCCCTGCTACTAAGCATGTCATTTCTTTGGCCTGCCTGCTAGGTCGGCTGATCTTCCTGTTCGGTAGACTTCTTCGCGGCGATTCGATCGTCATCCCAGAGCGTGTAGCATTCCACGATCACGAAGACCTCTGCCAGAGTCTGGCTAGGAGTGATAGTCAGCTCTCGATATAAGTCGTGTTCAGCTGGAAGACCTTTCTTGAAAGCAGAGGACGCGATTCGGTTATCGCACCCTACAATGTTGGCCTTTTCTGCCTTGAATCTCTTGATGTAATCTTGAAGGGATTCATCGGGCTTCTTGCGTAGGTTGTATAGGTGGTCAGGGTTCTTCTTGATCGTCCAATAAGAAGTGTATTCTTTGGTGAAGACGTAAGCCAGCTCTTTAAAGCTGCTGATTGACCCAGATGGTAGGGTGTGGAACCAGTCCTGAGTTGCTCCTTGTAAAGTCATTGCAAACACCTTGCACATGAGCACGTCTTCGGCCTTGTAGAGGATCATAACGCGCTTGAAGTGCTTTAGGTGGCTTTCGGGATCGGAATGCCCTTTGAAGTATGTAAAAAAGGGCGTTGAGAATAGTTTTGGGGGAGCAGCTTGCTCGATTTTGGCAGTGAAATGTGAGGAGTTTGCTCAGTTTACCTCCATGCGTATTGCATCTTCGAAATTTCAGCCAATTTAAGTCTTGAAGTCGGTTATTCACAAGCTTCTCAACATCTTCCGCACACATGGCTGGTTGTTCACATTGGTGACCTTCGCGATTTGGGTGACGTTGATTGACTTCCTTGTTGGTTCGCAAGAGTCGACCTTTTAGGCTGTGCTACCTAGGCGATGTGTTGGTGGACTGCGCTTGTAAGGGATTTCCTGTAGCTTGTCGATGAGAATTGGTTCTTCCAGAATGAGCAGCGAAGCACCTTTCTTCACGGTCCTCGTTGTGAAGATTGTCAGGTTGACCTCCCTGAGGGCCTAGCCTTTTGTGAACATTTCTCTGCGGACCCAAGCGGGCGTGGATGTCAAGTTGTGGGCCCAGCCTTTCGCACACATTGGTCCTTATGCTCAATCTAGATGAGAGACCTCGTCTACTTTGAGTGTGGCTTGCAGATGCTTATGACATGTCGGCAAGCTGACCACGTTGTTGTCCCTCTCCTTGTTTGCTTACTCCTGCTCGACATGCCTGGTACCCATTGAACTGGTCATCGACACGTTCATCCATCCTTCTCTCTTCCCCCTATTGTCCAAGGCCAAGGCTTTGAGCCAAGTTTATTTGGTTGAGGAGCTGCCTCATCAAATTGTTTTGGTCGTCCGTTCTCTGAGTTAGCTGGTCAACTCTCATATTAAGGTCTACTTGACTTTGTGGACCAGGAGGAGAGAATTGTGTGGAGCCCAATTGCACATGGGCTAGGGTTTCATTGGAGGTGTACGCGGGAGCGTATGTCGAGCACGGAGGCAATGGAGGGAATGATTGAAGTTGCTCCAAGATTGGGCCTCAGTCGGCGATGGTAGTGAGCCCACCCTGATGGGAGGTTCCACCATGCTAGGCGGCATTGTCGGGGCCTTGAGATGGTATGACGACGACAAAGGCAGTTGCGGTGGTCCTAGTTGCGGGTTCGATAGGTGGCACGGTGGTTCCAGCCATACGGGGTGGCTACTGTGGTGCAGCAGTAAGGGTTTGTTGTGGGTTCGTGGCGGTGAGAGGTGGTGGTGCCACCATGTCAATCGCGGGATCGTGGGAGGAGTAGCTTTGGGCCATCACGGATTGAGCCATCGCGACGGTCTTGCTCCTTGTGCGCTTGCTTCCAACCATGGTTGTTTGGAAGGCTTCGGTTGATTGGAAAATATGAGGAACAGATTCCTTGAGCACGCATGTTGCATCGATTCAGCTGCACCAAAATGGATTCAGCTGCATCCTCAACTTGTGATACTCGCAAGTGAACGAGCCGTTCGGTAGTATAGCATATGTAAGTGCGAGGTCGATTCCACAGGGATTGGTGATTGAATGATCCAATTCATTT